GTTCCGGCAGCGCCTCGACGCCTTCGTGCGCAGCCTGCCCTACTTCGGGCCCCGCAGCGCCCCGAACTGACCCAAAATCCCGGAATCTGAGCCCAAAATGGGGATCGGCGACCCAAAAAACCCAAAATCCCGGAATCTGAGCCTAAAATCGGGATCGGTGACCCAAAAAACCCAAAATCCAAAATCTGAGCCCGAAATCGGGATCGGTGACCCAAAAAACCCAAAATCCCAAAATCCGAGCCCAAAATGGGGATCGGTGACCCAGAAACCCAAAATCCAAAATCTGAGCCCAAAATCGGGATCGGCGACCCCAGAAACCCAAAATCCAATAAATAACTCCAAAATCCCAAAAACTGACCCCAAAATTTGGATCGGTGACCCCAAAAACCCAAAATCCTGAAATCTGAGCCCGAAATCGGGATCAGCGACCTCAAAAACCCAAAATCCCGAAATCTGAGCCCAAAATGAGGATCGGTGACCCAAAAAACCCAAAATCCAAAATCTGAGCCCGAAATCGGGATCGGCGCCCCCAGAAACCCCAAAATCCCAAAATCTGAGCCCAAAATGGGGATCGGCGACCCAAAAAACCCAAAATCCAAAATCTGAGCCCAAAATCGGGATCGGCAACCCCAGAAACCCAAAATCCAATAAATGACTCCAAAATCCTGAAAACTGACCCCAAAATCGGGATCGGCGACCCAAAAAACCCAAAATCCCAAAATCAGAGCCCGAAATCGGGATCGGCGACCCAAAAAACCCAAAATCCAATAAATGACTCCAAAATCCCGGAATCTGAGCCCGAAATTGTGATCGGCGACCCAAAAACCCAAAATCCCAAAATCTGAGCCCGAAATCGGGATCGGTGACCCAGAAACCCAAAAATCCAATAAATGACTCCAAAATCCCGAAATCCGAGCCCAAAATGGGGATCGGTGACCCAAAAAACCCAAAATCCCAAAATCTGAGCCCAAAATGGGGATCGGCGCCCCCAGAAACCCAAAATCCCAAAATCTGAGCCCAAAATCGGGATCAGCGACCTCAAAAACCCAAAATCCCAAAATCTGAGCCCAAAATGGGGATTGGCGACCCAAAAAACCCAAAATCCCAAAATCTGAGCCCAAAATGGGGATCGGCGACCCAAAAAACCCAAAATCCCGGAATCTGAGCCCGAAATCGGGATCGGTGACCCAAAAACCCCAAAATCCAGTAAATGACTCCAAAATCCTGAAAACTGACCCCAAAATGGGGATCGGCGCCCCCAAAAACCCAAAATCCCAAAATCAGAGCCCAAAATGGGGATCGGCGCCCCAAAAAACCCAAAATCCCGGAATCTGAGCCTGAAATCGGGATCGGCGCCCCCAGAAACCCCAAAATCCAATAAATAACTCCAAAATCCCAAAAACTGACCCCAAAATTGGGATCGGCGACCCCAAAAACCCAAAATCTGGAAATCTGAGCCCAAAATCACAAATGAGACACCAAAATAGGGATTTGGCACCCCCAAAAACCCAAAATCCCAAAATCTGAGCCCGAAATCGGGATTGGTGACCCAGAAACCCAAAATCCCAAAATCAGAGCCCAAAATGGGGATCGGCGCCCCAAAAACCCAAAATCCCAAAATTCGAGCCCAAAATCGAGATCGGTGACCCAAAAAACCCAAAATCCAAAATCTGAGCCCGAAATCGGGATCGGTGACCCAAAAAACCCAAAATCCTGAAATCTGAGCCCGAAATCGGGATCGGTGACCCAGAAACCCAAAATCCAATAAATGACTCCAAAATCCTGAAAACTGACCCCAAAATGGGGATCGGCGACCCCAGAAACCCAAAATCCCAAAAACTGACCCCAAAATTGGGATCGGCGCCCCCAGAAACCCAAAATTCCAATAAATAACTCCAAAATCCCGGAATCTGAGCCCGAAATTGGGATCGGTGCCCCCAGAAACCCAAAATCCCAAAATCAGAGCCCAAAATGGGGATCGTCGACCCCAAAAACCCAAAATCCAAAATCTGAGCCCGAAATCGGGATCGGCGCCCCCAAAAACCCAAAATCCCAAAATCAGAGCCCAAAATGGGGATCGGCGCCCCAAAAACCCAAAATCCCAAAATCTGACCCAAAAATTGGGATCGGCGCCCCCAAAACCCAAAATCCCAAAATCTGAGCGGGAGGTGACGTCATGGTGGGCGGGGCCAATGGGAAACGGGGGCTATGACGTCATGGTGGGCGGGGCCTCTGGGGGACACTGATGACGTCATTGGGGGATATTTTGGGGAGATTTGGGGACTTTTTGAGACTTTTGGGGGCACACGGAGGTCATGGAGGGGTCACCCAGGGGTCAGGGGTCACAGGTCTGCAAGTGGGCGGAGCCAGCTCGGTGTGGGCGGGTC